ATAGACGCATTGAGAAGCATATTCAGTTTTTTACGACAAAGAACTGTCTACCCGGTGCCTATGATAAATTGAGCAGGGTTCTTTACGATATATCCCAGATCACAATTTACCATTTTTGTAATAGTTTGTAACGTTAACTATCTCATTCAATATTTCCTATTTAGGTGGTCATATGGAGTCTTACTCTGGGAGATTGCGACTCTTGGTATGTTTTTCCTTTCAAATTAGTTGAAAAAAGCGCTCTGTTTCATAAGTAAACAAAGCTATACCTGAAAATCTGTGAATCAGCTGCCTGTAGTCATCGAAATTAACTGCCCTGTAATATTTTGGGCAATTTTGAAATAATGGCGGCGGCATGCACAATTAAAAAATATTATATCTCTCAGTTAATACGCACGCTGTGATTGGTCAATTTAGCCCGCTAAAATTTAAAGCTGTTTTTGTTGCCAAAATTTCTCGTGACTTATCGCCTTGTGTTCGTAACTTTTATAGCAAGTAAAGGTTTAAAAACTTTCTTTTACTTTAAGTTGTGTATTAAAACGTGCTAATGACTTAACAACGATTTCAATGTGACTCGTTTTGCTTTCGACGTGAGTTAGAAATTTGAAGCCGTGAATTTTCTATTTTCCAATTGCCCATATTTTAGTTTGTTTGCCACCACCCCTCCTCCAAAAAGAAAAACATTCATTTGCATAAACTACTGTTGTGAGATGCTTTTGGGACGTCTGCATATTCACAAGAGAATAAAGATCGTTCCCGAACCCGTCAGACACGCGGTAGGGATACAATAAATATCTTACTAACCTCGTCTTCTCAGTCAGTACGTATACTGTAAGTCATGGATCCTCGTTTTTTTCCCAATCTATTTATGGACCAAGCACTAAGCGGTCCGTAACTCACAGTACGGACCTCAAACTTGGTTAGTAAGAAGTATTTACCGCGTCCAAATTGGCAATTTGCCAATGAGCAGAGATCTTGTCTTCTATCCTGGTGTTCTGATATATCGAGTCACAGACCCTATAACGCCGCGACCAAGAAGTTGGTCGAATTTGGATACGATATGTAATAATCGTAGGTACCTTTCTGGTTCGCTTTAACAGCACATCAGGCTTGTTGATCTAGCTCACCGTGGTATAAAATAATATTTTGTCTCGGACTGCATCTTTGTCAAAAAGTCTCAAAGTATGAACCGTGACTCAATCAAACTCGATTAGCTGTTGATACCACTCGAGAACATGATCATAATCTCCCGTACCATTACAATAGCCCTTTTCGTGGACAACGTTTCTCGCTTGCAGTACAGTATTCTCTAGCATGTACGTGAGGAGATTTCGGGTTATTTGGTAGCTATTTTCAACCCGAAATTTTCGCCGCGAGAAAAACTAACCGTGAAAAGGGCTGATTCTATTGGAAAAGCAGAAAAAAAGCTTTAGATAAAGTGTAGCTTTTAAGATAAGTTGGAGTCATTTTAGAAATAGTCACGCTTTATTTTCTTCTCAAATGTAATTTGTTAAAAGCATATCTTATTGGATACTGAATTTTATTCAGAGGTCTGAATAATCTGGACTGGAAATCAAGCGATATGAAACATAGAATAAAATTTCAGTTTTTCTCAGAGTCAAAGGTGAGCTTGATTCATTTTTCAGGAGGGTTCCCTTATCCTGGAATCAGAAACAGAGAACTTATGAGACTACTAAAAAGAGGATACAGGATGGAAAAACCAGATACATGCTCAGAGGAGTTGTGAGTCATTTC